GAAATATTAAAATATATGTAAACTCTTTTTTTTCTCTTTATCTCATTTCTTAAATGATATATACTTACAGATTAATCAATTTGTCTCATTTGCAATCCATCTATTAGTGAAATATGGGTTCCCCTTTTTCAACGTTCTTAACATTTATAGGTGTTTAGATTAGAAATTTAAATCTCCCTTATCATAATGCAAAAATATAAAAATGTTTTCATTGAATAAGGTTTAAGGTTTTGATATTTTTGTTATCAATTTCTTGTCAATGATGGTGTAAAAGTTATTGAGTAGATTTCTATTGATTTTACTTATTTTCATGTGTTAGAAACACCCAAATGCTGAGGAAATACAATTGCATCAAAAAATTGATAAGTAGAAGGTCAAAGGTCGGAACAAGTGGACAATTTATAGTGCCTAAATGAGATGAAGAGATTTGAAATAGGTAAATAATATATCAATGGAAATTTGACCGAGTTACAAATTCAACTGTAAATATTTCAATATGAAGTTTCCTATTAGAATTAAGGTGTAACCTGAATTCTATTTGAAAGACTATTTGGAAATTCCATTTGAAGTTTGGTTGGGCCTTCTAGTTGTAATTTATTCGGGAATTTAAGTTGGAATTCAATTTGGGAGTTCAATTTGGAGTTGGTGATTTGTGTTGGACTTGAATAAGATTCAAAGGAGTCAAAGTTGCAATAGGAGAGGAAGAAATCATGCAAGGAGAAGGAAACATGAACCGGTGCTCGCTATTTGCGAGGAGGCCGCTCGAGTAGATGGCCACCACTCGACAGCCACGAGATCGTCGCTCTTATCTAGATTTTGAACAATTCTCGATTTTGGCATTTTTTTTTAAAATCCTATTTTATCCGCAACACTTCATTATTGTATAGACTTATTATAGTTGAACTCCACCATATCTTAAGCTCTTCTTTGCACTATATATATATGAGGAGTAAATCTCTAGAAAAATCAATCCTTACACGCTACGCAATAATTTGTAATCATCTATTATTGACATAAATAAATTCTCCTCTTCTATCCATGAATTTTTTCCACATAAATCTTGTGTTCTTGTTTGATTTTTGTATTGCCTTATTATTCTTGTTCCCTTATTTTCCTAACATTTTCTACCAATAATTGTACACATTTTACTCTGGGCAGCAGGCTGGCTGAAGCATTGTGCGGGTATGATAATCAAACCTCAAAATGCTTGCACACGTGATCGTTAAAGAAGAAAACGGGTGCATGTTTCTCGTGTGCGCGAGATTCCATGTACAAAAGTTTTATGCACACGAAATGGGGAATTCTGCAAGCCGAATCTAGTTCAACTTGCTTGACTCGAAACGACATTTTTGGCAATTTTGTGGCAAAATTAATTCAAAAAAAAACCCAAAGTATATATAAGAATAAAGCCACTTGTCCAGGTTTAAAAACAGAGGAATAAAGAGACAGACTAATGTTTCAAAAAATGATTGGATGTTTTTTTGTTTTTAATTTTTCAAACTGTCAAATTATGCGTCGACACGTGTTCCATCTGAATTTGAACCTGAATGTATAGCATGATCGTATATATAAACTATGTCTGGGACATGTGAGTAGAGCTTGACAGACTGGTTTCATTGTTAGATTGAGAGTTTTTCCATGGAGCACCTTTGACTTAGATATTTGGTGAAAAGCTTGAAGATCACAAAGGCAATGGAGAAGCTTGGAGTCTAGTAATTGATTTAACAATATTTAAAAGTAGTTATGATGTTGCTCGAAAGATTATAAAAAATTAAGGAATTTGATCATTTGCATGAATGAATATTTTAATACTTGATAGTTGAAATTAAAGGATTAACTGTGGTGAAATAGTGCGCCATTACTACCGTCAATTTTTTTCTAAGTCAAGCTAGTTATACACTTTCTTGCTTTCAGCAGTTTTATTATAGAAAAACATATCAAAAGCCGTAACTTCAAATTCAAACGATGAAATAAAGTTGGAATTAACAAATTCGGTACTAAAGCCCTATTTGCATCATTATGTTCGATAAAAGGAATGAGGGAAGTTCCAATAGAAAAATATTGAAAGGGAAAAATACTTCGAAGATGAACCTAAAGGAGAATTGGGAATTTTTCTAATAGCAGATCGGAGTGTTTTTCCTTGGATATGGAAAATTTGCCCACCTTCTGCCTTTGCACTCGAGGGCCAAAATCTCTGTCCGGCTCGAGGAAACCTTTGCACGCCTCCGTTAAATAGGATCTCAATTCCAGCGACGATTTCATTAGATATCTTACAACTAGAATCCCTCTTTTTTCCGATCCAGTTCCTCCCTACACTAGCAGGTTTTTTCGGAAAACTCTATTTATTCTAGTGTAGATGGCAGAACAAAAATGCATTTTTTTTTATTTATTTCATCTATTCTATGACTGGAACAGGCGATGATACACGTTACACCACGATTTTGAATCAGAAGAGAGATTTCAAGAAATAACATTGGCAATTATAACACAGCAATCAACATTATATCAACATTCTGGATAAATTTGGTTCTTTATTCCTATGTTAAAAAAATGTAGACTTCAAATATTATTGAGTTGCGACCATTTGTGCAAAAAGAAAAAAAATATGAACTTTCTTCAAGCTAAAAATAATGCATACAAATTAAAATTAAGAAGATATAAGGAATAAACTAGTTAAAAACCTAGTGGAGAAGAGGGAAAAATAAGAAATGTTAATTATTTTTGTGCCTGAGAAGGTTTCTGTAATTTTTAGAAAGATTAGCAAAACTAAGTATAGAAATCTTATGGAAGTCATGCATGCTAATATATAAATGGGCAAAAGTTCATAATCTGATTTTCAAACATAAAAATCAAGAAACTAACCAACTGAAGATTTTTATTCATCATTTTGATGTCTTCTGCAACCACTTCAAAAAATTTAGTCTGTGGATGATCTACTGCAACCCCTACAATTGCACCAAAACTATTATAAACATTTTTGGAAAATCTATTTCACCATCTTTTAACTAGAAAAATATAATGTTTAGCTAATTATCAAGTTATATCTGTTCGGTAATAATTATGAAAATTGAGTTTTTGACTGTTAGAGAGAAAAGTGGGTTCATCCGTAAGTGAAGAAGCAATAAATTACGACTGGAATAGTAGAATAATAAATACCCGTTAATTTATTTAAACATATCTTTTAAGCTAATCAAAGAGAGAAATACCATTGAGCAAAGCTTGTGTAGTGTTTGTCGAAAACACAGGACATGGGCCAAGTTTTGTCCCGCGGCACCACAATTTTTTACTCGTATAGCCTCCATCGACATTCCTAAGCATTCCCTTTGCATGATTTCTTACTGAGATGCGTTCATGACAGACATTGAAAGAGCAATCATAAACCACAAATCCCGACCTTGTTCTCCCGAACTCGAGATTCTGGTATATCATTGACATCATTCTGGCTAAACATCTATTTACTCGAAATATTTTTTTCTACCAACAAACTTAACTTTCTTAACTTTCTAGAAATTAAGTCTAAAACTTTCTAGAAAAGTAAAGTCAACGCCCATAGAATAAAAACTCAGATAACCAAAAGAGAGAGCACTTTATATAACATACTCCAATCTTTTGTGAGTTTTCTTCTTCCAAATTGATATTGTGATTTACATTTGATATTGAGTGATTTACATAGAGGTATGTTAGGCTTATAATTCAAGTCATGGGCCGGGATCCAAGGCAGCGAGCTGTAATGGGAGTGTACAAATACCTTATGGATAATTATACTTAATATTATAAAAAAGTTACATATTTTTAAATCTTCACCGACAATATATTATTAAGGTACCAATTATGTACCATAAGTTATATTTTATACCAATAATAGTCATGAAGATAGCCATGCAAATTAAACAATACAAGTGTTTGATTCAATTATAAATGAGATATCTCTCAAATTTTGCTACTTCATGCGCCTCTGTTTTCAACCCTGCTTTTTGGCCATCATCCGTGCAAATTAAACAATACAAGTGTTTGATTCAATTCTAAATGAGATATCTCTCAAATTTTGCTACTTCATGCGCCTCTTCTATTTGTACAAACTGTAATCTCACATGTGTGGGATTCATGTTGTATTATAAAATGTCAAAAAAAAAACCTCCCACCGACCCCCTACTGTGTCTGTTCTGTATGGCTTCTGTGTGTGCATTTTCTGTAGACATAGCAAACTTCTACAATACAGCTAAGCCCTTGATTAAGTCTCATTTTTCTCAAAATTTATTTTTTTAAAAAACTCATTTTCAACAACATATTCTTAAATAAAATAATATTACACGTAAATTTAAAATTTTTCCTTAATTTTTAACCACACGTTCTCCAGGGCTCAAACAAGTTATAAATAATTTCCACCATCATCAATTCCAATAGAGCTATGAACACAATCCAACCGCCAAATCTGTAATTGATATATTTTTTGGAGATGTGATCTGTCATTTATAAAAAAATAATTTTAGAGGATTACTTAAGATAGTTGACTTTCAATAATTAGATCTTAAGACTTTAATTTAGAGGATTTTAAATATGAATACAAGAAAAAACAATTCTTTATTTTCTTCCCCATAAAGTATAATTTTCTATTCCGCGGTAGCATAAATTAATTTTAGTTCATTGTACTCATAATTTAGGTTTTTTTTTTTTTTTTTTTTTTGGGTAAATGTAAGTTTCATTGATCAAAACTTTCATATACAAGTACACCGGACATAACGAAGCCAATGCTACATACAATTACTCGGGGCATACCCGAGTGATACAAAATAAGTAAAGTGCATAAAAAATCAATGATCCAACACTAAGGACTTGAAATGGATTAAGACATCCGGATACAAAGAACATAACTTTGTATAAGTGTGTCTTGATCCGTCTCACAATGCAATACAATCCAAGTGAGGTGAAAGGTCTTCAAAAATTTTCATGTTACGCGCTAGCCAAATGTAGTAGATAGTACTTGCAATTGCAATCCTCTTAACCTCACGGGCCGCTTTTTTCATCCACTTCAAAGTGCTAGCAAGTGTTGACGTGAATCTTCTAATACCGAGCCACTGTCTAATGCTCTTTCATAAGGACGATGTGAAAGAAAATTAAAAAAATAAATGTTGGCCTGTTTCCGCCATATGCCCACAAAGAACACATTTACGATCGATCTCCAAGTATTACAATTTGTCATTAGTTAGGAGTTTAGATTGAACCCCTAACTAAAGCAAAAATGTGCTTCGGTGTTATGCAAGATTTTCAAACATCGGCAGCCCAAATCCTCTTAGTACCTCTCAGTCAAAAGTAATCATATGCCATTTTTGTGTAGAATTTTCCACCAGTTGACCAAGCCTCAAATCTATCCAAAACTGCCTGAAAACGCTCACTGTTTTGTGCATTCATAGTATGCTGGTTTGTGGTTCTTCTAGCAAATGTAATCAGCTGTAATTTTTTCAAGAAAATGAGCATAACAACTAACTTTGAGTTTTTCCAAAGCAAGAGGGATGCCCAAATAACGAAATGGCATAGTACCCTTCGTGAAATTTGTGAGTTCAAAAATATCATCAAGGTCTTGGCCGTGAATACCAGCTGTATACAAGCTGGATTTTTGGATGTTCATCCTTAAACCCAATACAAAATCAAAGTTTGAAAGGCAATCCATTAGAATTTGCACTGACATAACATCTTCCCTTACAAAGAGCATTAAATCATCCACAAAAGCTAAGTGAGTGATCTTTAAGGGGCCACATTTAGGGTGATAGTTGAATTCACTATCATTTGTGGCAGCCTTAACCGTTCTAGAAAAATATTCAAGACAAAGCACAAACAATAAGGGGGATAGGGGATCACCTTACCGGAGGCCTTTTCCACCTTTGAAGAAACCATGAATACTCCCATTCAAAGTTACGGAATATGTTGGGGAAGTAACACCTTCCATAACCCATTGTACAAATCTCGAAGGAAAGTGCAATCCTTCAAGTACTCCTATAAGGAAATTCCAACCTACCGAATCATACGCTTTCTTTAGATCAATCTTTAGGAGGCATCTCAAAGCAACCCTCTTCCTGTTATATTGTCTCATGAGTTCTTGGGCAAGATGGATATTTTCCATCATACTCTTACCTTCAATAAAAGCGGCTTGTGCATGATCCACAATGCTCTCCAAAATAGGCATCAATCTAGAAGCAAGAACTTTAGTAATCACTTTGTAGAAAACATTACAACATGATATAGGCATATAATCCCCAACATTCGGTGTGTGACTTGACTTTAGCACCAAAGCAATGACCGTGTGGTTGACTTGTTTGAGGATGGATTCCAATGCGAAGAATTCCATGATGGCCCCCACAAAATCATCTTCAATAGTCCCCCATGCTTTTTCAAAGAAGCATGAAGTGTAACCATCCGGCCCGAGGGATTTATCATCTCCAATACCAAAGAGTACATCTTTGATCTCCTCACTAAAAATGTGCCGGATCAATAAGTTGCCTTGTTCCAATGATACCGAAGCCCATTCTTAATAATGTCAGCTCAATAGGCCGAACTGGACAGCTTGTACCTAGCAATTTGGTGTAATGTTGGACAAATTCTCGAGCAACCTGATCTTGTGAAGTGGTATACATCACATCCTCTTTGAGTATAGAAGCAATGAAATTTGTCCTTGTGTTCCTTTTCACCACTGAGTGGAAGCATTTTGTACACTTATCACTTTGCTTAAGGAAAATGCATTTTGCTTGTTGATAGTAAAAACTACGTTCCGCTTCACATAATCCCATGGCTTTCTTTCTCAATCTAGCCACCATAAGTTGATAATGCTCATTTGTGGGTTGATCATGGAGCTCAAGTTGGGCAGCCTCCAATTCTCTTTTAGCCTCATTTGCCCGTGTAGAAATGTGCCCAAGGTGTTTAACATTTAGCTCGCTCAATGCTCCTTTTAACTTGTGCAGCTTTTTACAAAGAACAAATTGTTTTGTCCCTACCACTTCGAAATTCCAACTTGCTTGAACAAGTCCTTGGAAGTCTTCATGCATTGTCCACATGCTGAAAAATTTGAATGACTTCCTAGTGTTCACCTCACGGTCATGAATGGATACAATGCAAGAAGAGTGGTCGGAAAGGCACCTGAGAGGTGAAAAATCAGCGAGGCCATATGCACCATTTTGCACCCAAATGTCATTCATCATAGCCCTATCAATTTTGCTCCAAATTGAATTATTAGTCCAAGTGTAAAAACAACCAATGGAGCGCACATCCGTAAGATCAACATGAAGGCAACAATTGGCAAAATCCTTAATTTCATAAGGTGTTACCTCCGCACCATTGCTTTTCTCATCAAATTTGAGCACGTTGTTGAAATCACCTAGAATCATCCAAGGCAATGAAACATTTGCATTGAAATCCATGATGTTGTTCCAAAGCGGCCTCCGGTTAACAATTGTATGGAAAGCATAAACAAAACTAACAAGAAAGGTATAAAATGTTACTTTGCAAGTAGCGATACAATGGATGACTTGGGGATTAGTCTCCAAAACTTCCAATTTGACTTTGGATGGATTCCACAAAATAAAAATCTGCCCGGCTCTATGAGTGCAAAAATTATTGACTTGCAAAAAACTATCAAATTTGTTCCGCATACTTATATCTTAGTAGGTGAATGACAAAAGACTTTAAGCATTAATGCAATGCAATTTCATGTTTAAGAAAAACCTTTTACTTATCAAATTAAAACTGAAAGTGAAAAGAAAATCTTCATTCACAATGGTATAAGTTTCTGTAGCTGCGTGATGTGAAGAGGGATCGAATTTCAATCTTTTTCACATCTTGCCTATTTTCATGGGGACCCTAACACATAATAATTTTATGGTGGTTAGGTTATCCAAATTGGAATTGTCTCAACCAATCTTATATTTAATTTCGATGTTAGCCACTCCATTAGTCAAACGCTGAGTAACAATCTTTTGTAAACATGAGTAACGCTGAACAAATAGGGCAAAAAAAAGGAAAACAAAAACAGACTAATATGACAACCCATGATTAAGTGTTTTTATGGTGTCTTTTTCCCTTTCTCCAATGAAAAACTGTCTAGTGTAATCTGGAAACGCTTTTCTATCATTGACTCTGATCATGCAGCATGATTGTTGTGAACATCAAAAATTGACAATAATATTACGTGTACTACCTCTCTAAATAAATATGCAATATAATCATGTCATGATTGTAATATTTAAATATAAATATTCAAAAATCGACTGTAATTAGTGCAATAGAGCATACTCAAATCTCCATTTGTCCTCAATTTCAAGAACTTGGAGTCATGGCATATTATTAGGTGATATATTTACCGGAAGGGGAGCTAAAGAAGGATTGGGATGTTAAGTTTAGTAATAGGGGCTAAAGGGACCTGATTATGACAAATTAAAGTTGAATGTACAGTTCATTGCTGTTTGCCTTCACTTTTGGTATAAAGTTTGTGATTAGTTTTTCAACGGCTTTGTAATGAGATAATTTTATTTCCAAAATATGATAAGTTTTGCTTGATGATGATTAAAAAATAAGATTAGCCTCGTGTCTGAGGCTAAATCAACTGTTATTTTGCCAAACAACTTGGAAGCAAATATAAAATTTTAGGATTCACTACGACAAAAATGACATTTTGCAACATGTAAAAAACAGCATACGTTAATTAAGTATTGTTAAGAGAATTCTATCACAACATTCTAACAAAATGAACGTGCCATTGGCTAACATTATTGAAAGGTCTTTTGCAACGTTTTTTAACCATTACAAAATATTTTTTTTTTTGGTACAGTACATCTTAAAAGATCAACTTTATTAAAAGAAGTAGTTCAAATCCTTATACTTCTATATTTACCCTAATATGACCCACAACATGAAAACTTTCTTTGAAAATATCCATTTTAAAATTTCTTCGTTTGACTCCTTATAATATCGAATTGCTTGTTTGAAATTGATGAATTCTGATATAATATTATGACTTAGAGTTCAATGGAGCAACCATATCCCTTGTACGCTATATATTTATTTTAATATTGATTCGATGTGAGATATTTACCATATAATAATAATTAATTCACTTGTACCATTGTGGAGGATCAAAATGAAATATAATGATAAACAAAAATTCAAAGTGCATCATCCTACGGCTTGTTACCATATTTGATATTGCAGCTGCTCAATTCATACCACCACCCTCTTGTAAGAAGTTCAAGTTTTGCTAAAAGCACATAAAACATAGAATTTGACATAGTTGCCTAAACTATACTCGATCTCTATATTAGATTTCTACGTTACACAGCAACTGGATAATCTCTATCTGCAGTATAATTTAATGAACTGAAAAGTCCTCTGCGAATTTCATAAACAGGAGCAACGATGCCCCAAGCACCCTTCTACTCCAAAATTACATTACCGCTTTGTTCATGGTCTCTTCCCATCTGAACAAGAAGTCTTGAATGACTTAGTACTTCGTGAAACCCTGCAGTGTAAAACACGTAAAATTTCATTCATAGCGCACACAATATTAACCATTTACTCAATAAGAGGAAAAAAAATATTTTGAGCAAAGGAAAAGCAAGAAAAATATCTTGCCCTCCCAATCGAGATAGCTCAGGTTCTTCAAGCAGCATATCTTGTAGTGGTTTTGCTGGCATTTCTTTGGCACCAGAACTGCAGTAAGACGAAATGAGGTTAGAGCTGTCTGCAGGGTAAGGCAGGAGATAAGCAGAACCACACAAGTATGAAGAAAAACTTCAGTTAAAATCAGTGACACCTGCTTTACCTTCTTTTTTATATGGGGTAGTTATATTGGCAATCTGCCATTCTATGAATTAGGTACATGAGGATGTCAGTGCCTAACGCAATATGAATATATTCATTTCTGTGTCGGCATGTTTGGCTTACAAAATTTTTATTATCCAAATCACCCTTCATTTAAGCAACTAAAGGATTCTAAAAAGGTCAAATTGTTCCTATACATTCTCTTCAACCCTTCCTCCCTAATTTTTTTCCTGCGCATACAAAATGGCGTAATAAAGCACACCCCAGCTGCTGCCACCCCTCGTCTCTGAAGAGATAAAGAAAAAGAAAAAAACTTAAACTGATGTACCAAAACTTCAAATTCCATCTCCGTAACC